AGATCGAAATACAAGCCACACATTCTGCGCCTCATCCCCCACTATACTGGTACAGATATGTCGATGACACTTTTGCTGGTTTCACTTCTACAGAACACACACTAACTTTCTTTAAACACATAAATTCCATTCATCCCAACATCAAATTTACCAGAGAACACGAAAACAATAGCCAGTTATCTTTTCTTAACCTCAAAATTATTAGATCGGACACACAGTTTAAAACCAAAATTCACCACAAGAACACACACACTGGCCTCTACATCCCCTGGAATTCCGCTCATGACACCACGCAATAAATTAATACACTTAAAAACCTCATAAAGACAGCTACAGGACTGATCAATGGACTGCATAAATGAATAAATTAACCACATAAAGCATTCCTTTATTCACACCAATAAATTCCCACCAGCTATTGTTGAAAACTCTCCAACATTTCCCCACAACAAAACTCAACCCACGAACAAAATTGATACTAACAAACCCAACAACAGAACATTACACTGCAGTTTACCTTTTGTCCCTGAAACCAGCTCAAGAATTATCCACACTTGGAAAAAACTAGCCATTAAACACAATATTCCTGTCAACGTCAAATTCTCACAAAAACACCGCACTAAATTTAAATCGTTACTAAACAAAAATTATTTAGAATCACACAATACCAACGTCATTTACAAAATAACATGCAATAACTGCCCAGAATTCTACATCGGACAAACAGGAAGAAAATTGGAAACCAAATTGACAGAACACAATAAAAAACCGTCCCATGTTTTTCACCATTGCAAAAAACCATAGTATATCTATTAAAAACACGGCCATTTTAAACAAATAACCCAACATAAACAAACGAAAAATCGAGGAATTCATCTTAATTGAACAAAACAACCCTACTCTAAACCAACACTCCAGGGTGCCAAGATACCTCTTCTAATAATGGTTGGAGACGGCTTGAATGGGTAATGAAGAAAAACTTTAATATAAGTTTAACATATCAGCAAATGTACAACGTTTCGACAAGGTTTTGTCATCATCAGGTACAAGTAATTTACACTGACACGGATATATACAGTTAAAGTAATAATTAACATATAAATATTTTTAGTTGATTACACTGTACACTATTTCTGCTAAGCTGTGAAGCCCATAAGAAGCTGTGGTAAATCATTATCACTACGGTGTTGTAAGTAGGTCTAGCAAACCTTATAAACTCTAGGCCTAGTATATATTTTACTACAATACAAGTTAGTGTTAGAGTGTGTCTGATAGTTAGGCCTAACATTACGCTATTTTTTAATATTCTTATATATCGCCCTTTTATAGGAATTTAACCAAGAAAACAGTATGGAAGAATTCAGAATAAGATCTTTTGGATCATTAAGTAGAAACTAACTTGTAAAACTTTATAAAAATGATTTTTTCCGTTGTTTTTTTTATCATTCCTGAATGAACAATTGCCAGCACAATAAGCGTACGTCATTGATACCAGTTGCTAAGTTGTTTACAAAAAGCGTAATCATTGACACCAGTTGCTACGTTGTTTACAAAAAAGCGTAATCATTGATACCAGTTGCTAAGTTGTTTACAAAAAAAAACGACTAATCACACTCCAGAAAAAGAAAAAAACAAAACGATTTTATTCAAATCCAACGTTTCGGCTTACGCCTTTCTCAAGGATTACAGCGTCATATACCAATACAAACTGGTAATAGAAAAGAATACATAGAAAAGTTAAAAACTAACTTAACAATGGTAACTTCACGTGCTATCACAACCACGTTAAAAAGAATTAAAATGATTAAGCGACAGAAAATCGCAAGCTATCGAACAAAATATAAAAGAAATAATAATAATTACGAAGGCCATGAATTATTTCTGTATACTTTATGTTTATAAGATTTAATCAGGAGAAATTCTTTGAGTTTAAAATTAAGGAAACTATTATATTTTGTTAAGAGCTTAATGTTAAATGATGTTTTATATACTGTACCATGTTTCGTTAGAAAGTGTTCGGCAGGGGCTTGTTTAGATTAAAACCTTTATGAACTGAACGAATGGTTTCACCAATGTATTTATCATTATATTGGGTACATGCAATTTTAAATATATCACATTTTTAACAGTATAAAAGTCATCTAGTCCATTGTTTCTAACAAGACAATTTTTGATTTGTATTTTTTTATACTGAAAACCGAATCAACAAGAGATTTTAGTGTAATCCCGAGGTTTTGTACAAACCGAATCAACAAGAGATTTTTAGTGTAATCCCGGGTTTTGTAAAAACCGAATCAACAAGAGATTTTAGTGTAATCCCCGGGTTTTGTACAAACCGAATCAACAAGAGATTTTAGTGTAATCCCCTTGTTGATTCGGTTTGTACAAAACCCCGGGATTACACTAAAATCTCTTGTTGATTCGGTTTGTACAAAACCCGGGATTACACTAAAATCTCTTGTTGATTCGGTTTGTACAAAACCCGGGGATTACACTAAAATCTCTTGTTGATTCGGTTTGTACAAAAACCGGGATTACATTAAAATCTCTTGTTGATTCGGTTTGTACAAAACCCAGATTTTAGTGTAATCCCGGGTTAATCTTAAATAATATTATAAGAGAAGTATAATAAAGGTGGGTAAAGTTGTCATTTAAACTGGTTAATTTCTGTACA